GGAAGGAAGTGGTCAGAGAATATAGGAACATGTCAAAAAGACATGGGAGGAGTTCCATTTCTATTAATGGTGGGGGAGCTTAACTGGACCAATGCTCCCAAGATGGTAACTGTAAACTCTAGGCAAAATTAATAAACAACTATCTGAAGTGATAGGAGAGTGACCACAAATAGGCAGACCCTGGACTGGAGTTAACACTTGGAGGAAATGACCAGTGCTAAATGATTTGCATGTGTTTACTCTTTTTTGGTGCCATGAAGGTAGACAACATTCAGACAGCAATCTGTAGTCTAACTGATGCAAGAGTCTGAGAACAGAGTTCAAAGTAACAACAACAAATGGAAAGTAAAGTGGGGAATTCTGGAGAAAGACACCCAGGGGAAACCCTAAATTCTACTTATAAACTCTGTTCAAATCTTTGCTGATCCCTGAACTTCACAAGGGTGGAACAGACTCCAAGCAGTCCAGCAAAAATAAGACAACTGATTTCAGCTGCATCCTCCCAGAGAGGAGAGAGTTTGGATTCTGAGCCTAGCTGCCAGCTAAAATAAGAGAAAAACCAGAAACAGCAAACAAACAGAAACACTGTTTAGAGAAATAAAAAAGAATTGAGAGTCTCTACATTATTCAGAATGTCCAGAATACAATCTCAAATTCCTAGACGTACAAAGAAACAGGACAAGGATTTTAGCAGACAAGGATTTTACAACAGTTCTTATAACTATGCTCAAGAACATAAGGAAAATATTCTTGTATTGAATGAACAGATAGGAAATCCCAGTTCTAAAATGGAAATCATTTTTGAAAAACCCTGATGGTACTCAGCATCAGGGAAATACAAATCAAAACCACAATGAGATATCACCTCACACCTGTCAGAATGGCTAAAATTAACAAGTCAGGAAACAAGAGATGTTGGCGAGGATGCAGAGAATGAGGAAACCTCTTACACTGTTGGTGGGAATGCAAGCTGATGCAGTCACTCTGGAAAACAGTATGGAGATTCCTCAAAAAGTTAAAAATAGAGCTACTCTATGGCCCAGAAATTGCACTACTAGGTATTTACCCCAAAGATACAAATGTAGTGATCTGAAGGGGCACCTGCACCCCAGTGTTTATAGCAGCAATGTCCACAATAGGCAAACTATGGAAAGAGCCCCGAAGTCCAACAACAGATGGATAAAGAAGATGTGGTATATATATACAATGGAATATTGCTCATCCATCAAAAAAATGAAATCTTGCCATTTGCAATGAAATAGATGGAACTAGAGGATATTATGCTAAGTGAAATAAGTCAATCAGAGAAAGACAATTATTATATGATTTCACTGATATGTGGAATTTAAGAAACAAAACAGAGAAGCGTAGGGGAAGGGAGGGAAAAATAAAACAAGATGAAATGAGAGAGGGAAACAGACCATTAGAGACTCTTAATCATAGGAAACAAACTGAGGGTTGCTGAAGGAATGGGGGATATATGGGTGATGGACATTAAGGAGGGCACTGGGTGTTATAGAAGACTGATGAGTCACTGAACTCTACCTCTGAAACTAATAATACACTATATGTTAATTAATTGAATTTAAATAAAGTTTAAAAAAAAAGAAAAACCCTGATGGAGATTCTAGAACAAAAAATACAAAATCTGAGATTAAAAAAAAAAAAAAAAAAGGACTGAATAGTCCAAAAATTTTTATTGGGTGGTATTTGGAGAAGACAGAAGAAAAAGTGGGTGAGCTGGAAGACAAATCAATAGACATCTGAAGAAAGAAAAAGACAAAAAACATCAAGGGAACTTCAGAGACCTGTGGAACAGTATCAAAAGTTCTAAAACTTATCAACTGGAAATCCCAAGCAGGAGAGGAAAGAGAAAATGGGACAGAAAAAATATCTCAAGAAATAATTTTCACAAAGTGAAAATTTTCTAAATGTGTTAAGATATATGCACATACAAAATACCCTTTGAGAGTGAAGGCAAACATAACATTTTCAGACAAATCAAAATGAAGGGGATTCACTGATAGTTAGCCTGCCTGCCAAGAAATGCTAAAGGTGGTTCTTTAAAATGACAGGAAATGATACCAGAAAAAAGTTTTGATCTTTAGGAAAGAAGGAAGAACATCAAAAATGATGAATATGTATGCAAAAATATAAAAGACCACTTTATTCCTCTTAACTGTTTTCAAATCAATATGACTAAAGCAAAAATTATTATAGTGTATGTAGATCTAACACAGAGGGCAACTATAGCAGAAAGGATGGGGGGATGAAAGTCTAGGTTCTTACAATTAATGTGAAATGCTTCAATACAAATGCTAAGTAGAACATTAAATAATTTCAAGGAACAGAAGCTTAAGGAGCAATAGATAAATTAAAACTGAGTTCTAATTTTTTCATTGATCCAAAAGCAGGCAAGAAAAGAAGACTAGAGGAACAAAAAATATATTGGGAAAACAGAAAATAGAAAAATAGATGTAAATCCAATTATATCTATAATTACACTAAACATCAATCAACTAACTAGTATAATTAAAAGGCAGAGATTGTCAGACTAGACATAAAAGCAAAATCCAACTATATGTGGTCTACAAGAAATTTAAATATAAAGAAACAGATATGTTTGAAGAAAAAAGGTGGCAAAATACACACAATGTAAATGCCAATAAAAAAGCAAGAGTAGCTACATTAATATCAGACAAAACAGACTCCAAAGACTCATATAAGACACAGCACATTTCACAATAATTGGGTTGATTCATCAAGAAAGTGTAACAATCATAAATGCTCATATACCTAATACCAGCTTGTCAACATACATGAAGCAAAAATGGACAGAATAAAAGGAAGAAATAGAGACATCCACAATCACAGCTGGAGAGGTTAATACCCCTCTCTCATTAACTACTACAATTACAAGACAAAAAGAAAATCACTAAGGATATATATCAGGACAGCACAACCAAATACTTGACCTAACTGACCTTTATAGAACATTACACCCAACAACAGCAGAATACAAATTCTTTTTCAATGCATAACATATGTTCACAGATAGACTATATACTGGCTTGTAAAACAAGTCACAACAAAATTTAAAAGACTGACCCTCTGACCACAATGAGAATAAATATCAAGAAGCTATCTAGAAAATTTTCAAATATTTGGAAATTAAGCAATATACTTCTAAATAACCCATGGGTCAAAGAAGAAATCACAAGAGAAATCCAAAAATATTTCAAAATAAATAGTAATGGAAATAACACGACATCCAAATTTGTGGGAAGCAGTTCACAGAATACTGAGAGGCAAATATACAGTTTTATATGCTTATATTAGGAAAGAAAAAAGGTCTAAAAATCAACGGCTTGAAGGTCCACTTTAATAAACTAGAGTAAATCCAAATTAAGGGTAAGAAAGGAAATAACAGAGATAAGAGCTGGAACCAAAGAAATTGGAAAGAGACAACTAGAGAGAAAACAAAACCCAATGCTGGCTGACAAGATCAACAAAACTGATGAAATCCTAACTAGACCAAAGGAACAGAGAGAAGCACAAAGTAACAACTATCAGGAAGGAGAGCAGGCCAGCACTATAGATCCCATATACATTAAAAGGATATAACAGATATAATGAACAACTTTATGCCAATAAATTTGACAACTTAGTTGAAATGAACAAATACCCTGAAAAGTTTAACTTACGAACTGACACATGATGAAATAGAAAACCTCAATACCTCTATATCAATGCACGTTCCAAAAAACTTTTCCACAAAGAGCACTCCAGGTGGCTTTGCGGGTAGAGTCCATCAGACACTTAAGGGAACATGAGCACCAATCTTACACAAACTCTTGGAAAATAAAAGAGGAGGAAATGCTCTTCAACCTGTTTTTTGAGGTCAGAATATGAAGGAAAAAAAAAAAAAACAGGGGAGAAATCCAGCAGACACTGTGTTAATCAAGTGATCAAAGCTAATATCACCAATACTGGGATGTACTGACCTCAGGTACCTCTGAATTTGATGGTGCCTTACTACTTTGGCTTCCTTGAAAGTAGTCATGAGGAAGCATGAGACCAACCCCCAAATAAGGGATGGTCTACAAAATGACTGCCCCGTACTCTTCAAAAAGTAAATATCATGAAAGGGAAAGAAATACTCTCAATTTTCTGATTTTGATAGCTGCACTGTAGAATGTAGGAAAATATCTTTTATTTTATTTTTAAAGATTTTATTTCTTTACTTGACAGAGAGAGAGAGAGCATGAGCCAGGGGAGCGGCAGAGGGAGAGGGAGAAGCAGGCTCCCCGCTGAGTGGACAGCCAGACTCAAGGCTCGACCCCTGAGATCATGACCTGAGCTGAAGCCAGATGCTTAAGCGACTGAGCCACCCAGGCACCCCGAGAGTTATCTTTATTTTTAAGAAATAAATACTGCACTATTTAGGGGTGAAGAACTATCATGTCTGCAACTTAGGAAAACACAGTTCAGGAATAAAATGTATTTTCATACACAAATAAAAATAGTACATACACACATATATGTGTATATATAGAGACAGAAAGAGATAAGGAAGAAGAATGATAAAGCAATGGGGTAAAATGTCAGTAAGTGATGGAGCTGGGCCCATGGGATTCTTTGTAAAGTTCTTGCTACTTTTCTCTAAGTCTGAAATTACGTCAGAATTAAAAGTATTAGAAAAAATATGCTTGGGAAACACTGCCTCTAACTCTTCCTCCTGGGTTTTTCCAATATCCATTAGTACATTAAAGGCTCTGACAAGTCTTGCATAAGAAGCGGGTTTGGTGTTTTGTTAGAAGATTCACTTTGTCAGAACGGGTATTTGTTTCTGACAAAGAGGTATCATCAATGTGTGAGATACTGAAACAGACTATCAGTGGACTTGAAACCATGCAGGATTTAATCTACTCTGTGGTTCCACAGAAAATGCTTGCCCAAGAACCCCACTGCCCCTGCCCTGTGGTGTTCCCCAGGCTCACCCTCTCTGAGTGTCTCCTTCTGCTTCAGCATGCCCTTGAGGGTCAGGAGGCGGGGCACAGCTGTCCAACAAGCCACCGTGTGCTGGACTTGGCACTGCAGGGTCAGGACCTGGCCTCCCCTCTTCTCCATGGAAGCCTTGAGGAGAAGCTGTGCTGTGTTCTGGTCCACCAGCACCTTATAAAACAGCCAAACCCTAGGAAGGAACGTGATGGGGATAAGGTACAAACTTATCCCCACAGACAGGAGGTGGGTCCCTGAACCCCACTGTCCAGACCCATCATAGGACTGCTTTTACTGGCTCTCAGCCCACAGGGATGCAGTGTAATAGGGGTTAAGATCATGGGCTTTGGGGTCAGCCAAACTTGGGTTTGAATCCCAGTGCTGCTACTCACTAACTGTGGCCTTGGACAAGGACATAAGCTCTCTGAGCCCTAGTTTCTTCTTCTGTAAAGTGGGGGATAAAATAGAACCACTGATTGAGTGGATATTGCTGATAAGTTATCAATGCATCATATGATGATGAGCGATGAGAAAATAAAGAGCTTCAACAAGGCTGGTATTAAACGTCCTGGAGAATTGGGGAAGAGGACATGGTCCCTATCATCCACCCAGATGTTCTTCATAGGACACCATGGGAGACACCTCCCTTGAGGATCAACACCAGAAACAAGATCAGCCATGCCTTCTTTGGTGCATACTCACACAGGTGTGAGTGTGTACGTGTTTCCCCATAGCCTTTGAAAATAACGCCACTGGTTGGTTTCTCTTTTTTCATTGACTACTAGGAGCCTCAGAGCCAAATTTTAAGCTGAGCTCTAAAAAATGTACAGGACCTCATGACATGCATTTTGTTTCCTAAAGCCACTTTGAGCACCTTCCTATTTTCCCCATTTTTCTTTTCCCTTCACGCTCATTTCCTCATGTGTTTTGAAAAATCTAGAACAAAAGTTGGCAACCTATACATCTGTGGGCCAAAATCAGCCCACTGCCTGTTTTGTAAATAAAGTTTTATTGAGACAGCCACGCCCATTCACGTGCATGTCATCTCAGGTGTCTCTGGGCTACAACAGCAGAGTCATTGCCACCGAGACTGTATGGCCCATGGATTCAAAAATACTTACAAACTGGCCCTTTGCCTGAAAGGTTGTCAATTCCTGACCTAGAACAATACAGGTTTTTATAATCTGCCTCAAACCCTTGAAAGAATGGAGACAATGCTGGACATTTGGACAGATGGATGAATCCGTGGATGGACAGCTCTAGGTGGTAATTCTGGGGACAGGGTTATCTAGAACCATACCCAGAGCCTTGGGTCTCCTCAAATTCACAAAAGCCAATGCTGGGACTCCGCGGGAAACAGGGCACTAACATTCAAGGGAGATCTGACCTGTGCCAGAATGAGTCATACTCCGAGGGCCAGTGACAATGGCAGCTAGGCAGTGAACATCCTCGCTGGCCAGGCCCTGGTGGGGCATGCACGTGTGCTGCTCCAGGAACCCGAGGACAACCCCAAGAAGCAGGGGGAGAGACTCAGGCACAGGAGGGCACAGTGGCTGGCCCAAAGTCCCAGAGGCTGAGCTGGGGTTTGAACCCGGGCAGCTGGCTCCATGGCCCAGGACCCTGATGGCCATATCGTAGGGGATAAACCCCCATGTGAAGATACAGTCCGAGGTGAAGGACTGTACCAACTTACTCCCCGTGACTATCTCTAGAGACTCCTGTTTTATGCTTTATACTTTATTGTCATCTTTCAAGTCATCTACAACGAATGCAGTCATTACTAAGAAAGAAAAGAAAAAAGAATGACGAGGAAAACTGAATGCCTCCTTCTTCCTTTCCCTCAATGGCTTAAAATCAAGAACGGCCAGAGTAGGGGTGATTTAGACCTGGTCCCCGAGTCTTGGAAAAGGGCACCTCTCTGAACGAAGATTTCCCATCTCCCAGGACACGAGCCCTCTGCCCTTGGAGGCCCTTCCCCCGCCCCGCACAGCCCCTGGGGACCCTCACCTGGCTGGGGCCACCTTGCTGGACAGCTGCAGCTGAATGGCCAGGGGGGCGCTGAGGACTGCTTGGTGGAGGAGGACGCTCATGTCCCAGCCCCGGCTGCGTCTCTGGGTGTCCTGGCTGCTGTTGGCCTCCAGCAGAACCAGCTCCCGGCTGGACGTGTGCACAGACAGGGAGCCACTGAGGCTATGGTCTTTGTATCGTTGGGCAGCCACCTGCACCTGAGGGGAGGCAGGAGAGGGCTTAGAAGTGGAGGGATTACTGGAAGGGTCTGTGGGAACCAGCTACGTGGGAGGGCCCTTCCTCCAGGAAGCCTTCCCGAGCCTCTCCAGCTCTGAGAACCACGAAGCCCCACAGACAGCAAGCACACAGGAAGAGAGGAGGCAGAGGGAACGGTGGTGGACTGCCTTCCCTGACCCCAGCTCCTGGCCCAGGGAGAGAGTCTTACCTTGTCCTTCCCAGCATGTGTGAAATGGGAATTTCCATCTTACAGATTGGGAGACTGAGGCCCAAAGAGAGTCACATATTTAATATGGGCCTGCATGGGCTCTAAAACTCATGCTTGTGCCTGAAGGGAACAGTGGGGGGGCAAGGAGCAGAAGACCCCTGGGCCACTCAGTTACAGAAAAGGATGCCCCCAACAGTGCCCCCCCCCCGGGGTCCAGAAGACCCCCAGAAGCTCTGGGACTCAAAGGGGAAGGTGTCCGGTGCACAAGGAGGAGCCATAGTGGGGGCCAGGCTTGGTCAGGCCCCCAGGAGTGGGGGTGGAGCAGGGAGGCCTGCTCCTCCACCAACTTTGCAGAACCTGAAGCCCCTTTCCTCATCGGAGCCTCAGTTTCCCCATCTATAAGGCAGAAGTTGCTCCAGCCCTAGGATGTACATTGCAGTCAAGTGGGAAACTTTTTTTTTTTTTAAAGATTTTATTTATTTATTTGAGACAGAGAGAATGAGAGACAGAGAGCATGAGAGGGAGGAGGGTCAGAGGGAGAAGC